CGTGTGTGTGCCTGTGTGTGTGTCGCGTGCAGTGCGGTGATTGTGCGATCGAGTGTAAATTAAGGTACCAACAGCTTCTTTTGTGATCTGGTTCTAGCTCCCTCGGATCCCTCGCTCTCACTTTCTTCTAACGATGCTAAACGAGACAGAGTGTAGCGGTGTCTTAATTGGTAGTGTGTTAATCGTATACTGCTCGGTACGCAGCTCGTACATAATTTCGATGGCAGTTAAACATTATATTTAACGACAGCTCACGACGAATTACGTTCATGATGAATGAGATGAATGGAAGGAACGGCTTTGTGTTGCTGCGTGCTATGCTAGCGTAAGGATATCGCGACGTGCGAGTTGTTGAGTCTCACAGATGTGCTGGGGTTTATGTGCGCACAAGTGTCTGCATGCTAGTAGGCAGTACGTGAGTTTCCGAGCTTATTCCAGTTGTAAAGCGTAAGCGGGTTTGATGTTATCCGTTTTCAAAGTGGATTTGTTTGTGGAGATGAATGAAGGGAAGATCAAATGTCAAGCGTTGTGTTTAGCAAAATCTTGCCATAATAGTTATTATCTGTTCTCAATAGTCGCACCCCCAGTGCTGTGCGCACAGAGGCACGCATCGCAGTGACCGCAACTCTCGTCGTCCGTCCTCCTTTCTAACATAGAACATTCCATTTCCACGTTTCTGCTAAACCTAAAAAGAAAATCAATTCGCTGCGCAAGCGGACAACACACCGACTCGACACACAATCTGCACAACAATGATTCAACCGTTTTCACGTCTCATCATCCTACTACATCAAACGCGCATGGCGCGACTAACCCATTATGGCAACCACGCGTTCGCGATCTCTAATCACCCAACTACTATGTTCTAACATCAGCCAAACCACACTTTACACAGGTATCATTAACCCTCGAGTCTTTATCACAAAATTTCAGTTCACCACGACTAATTTCTGTATGATATTTTTACGTAATTTTCGTTTTAATCTCCCTTTGTGTTTTAATTTTTATATATATATTTATTTATTATTTTATTTCTATGTCCATAGCAAAACATAATGACTTTTCATTTGTTTAGAGATCTTCGGATTTTTGGTGTGGTGAGGTGGAGGTGGGGTCTGTAGGATGGTGTTCATAATCTTAATATGTAAAGGAGAACAATTATAGGAGTTTCTATGAATAGTCATTATAGAATATGATTAGAAGTTAGAATATCACTACAAGAAAATTGGTCAATATTCTAATTTAGTGCCCTGTTTCTAAGCAGGGCTTTAAATCACAGTTAATTATAGCTAAATTTCATGTTGCTTGATGCAATAGAGTGCCGGAGGATGAGAGTACGGTAAATATTATATCAAGAGGCGTATAAAGGAAGGCTTTATCGTGAGCATCTTAATTACGCTGCTTGTACTATTATATAACTATAACTATAACATTTGACGTTTACTTTACTTCGTGTTGCCAATTTAGTATTTTCTGATGAACTAGATACTATATGTATCTAGTTCTATCTCAGAAAAGTAGTAAATTGGCAACATCGAATATAAGTTTAAAGTTCAATAGTTGCCTACGGCGATCTCGATCATGTGTTGTCATGTTATAAATTGTTTGATCCCCTCTCGCTCGCTCTCGCTCGCGCGCGTTGTCAGAAACAAAAATTGGTGCTTTATTTAACCTCTCTCATTTCTCTTTAGACCGTTTGACAGAACGTGCGAAGTTACGAGAAATGAAAAATTGTAGCAGATTTCCTCATAACAATACGAAACAAAGTGACGTTGACGGTCTACCAGAAATTGTTAATAATCATAGACAATATAAAATATCTGAGGAAATTAAGTCAATCACCCTTCGTGCTTCATTCAGGCTTCACTCTTCATTTACCTCTTCATTAATTTCATTCACCCTTGGGTGAATGCATAATGGTGAACACCCGCATAAAAGAACCCGTGATTTTAAGAACCTCCAGGCTGAAATTGGACCAATAAAGCACCTATTATATAAGAACCTCTTCAGCCTAATAAATTAAACAGGTTCTTATATAAACAAAATACCGAAAATTAGAGCAAACTGTGGCAATCCAAGTATGTGTGCTACACCATTGGAAACTGTCTACTATATTAGTCAAATAAATTTTCACAGCATTTGACCTTTCATTGTGATTAATATGATAAGTAAATTAAAGGTGATAAATAAATTAACTCAAATGAATTTAAACAGACATATAATTTCTAATATTAAGCAGTTGGTTAATTAATTAGTGTCAATTATTCACTAATTAAAGCCAATTTTACCTAGATAGTGTACACAATATCCCCCCCCCCAAAAAAAAATTAAGAACTTCTTTAAGAACCTCTTCAGGCTGATTTCTCACTATGTACCCTATATATAAGAACCTCTTCAGCCTGATACAGAAAATCACGGGTTCTTTTATGCGGGTGTTTACTGTATTCACCACTTTGCATACTTAAACACTTTGCGTGTGCATGCTCTCGATCCTGTGTCGTAGCTAGGGTACATTCGTGCCTTAACTATTTTGAATCATGACGACCATGATGACGACCATAGAAATATATAGAGACACTATTATATATATACCATGATAAGTTGTTCTGTCTAAGTTGGTCTAACTATTATATTATTTCTAGAGTGGCGACATTATGGACGAGTATAACGTCAGTAAAAAGACTCCGTATCTATTGGTGACGCCTGGGCAGCTGCGCATGCTTTACACGTTATCATTGGCCATCAGTTGCTATCGATTGATCGTGTCGGTCCTGAAGATTTACGATACAAACGTAGAAGTACATTTCCTAGGGGATTCCCTATTATCTACTCATCTACTTCTAGTACTAGTACTACTACTTAGTGATATAGACTAGTATTCTGTATTTTATATTTATTCCCTCAAAATTCTAGTTCATTAGTAGTTGGTGGTGCTTGTGGTATTCTAACCCTAGCAATACCGTTTCTTGGAGCTACAGTTCAAGATGTCACAAATCAGCTGTGTTGCTAACGCGAGTATCACAAAATTAGGTAAATAATTGCTCTAGTCATAATAAATATTACAACTATACTCAATAGCACACTATTTGCAAACTATGTGCCGGAGCAAGCTGCACAGGCACTTAATTTGGTCGTCTTATTAATAGAATGATTGTAAATAAACACAATTTATTGTTTATCATGCCACAGGCCCTTGGAGGCTCAAGTTTCAAAGAAGAGCTATAGACTCACTGTAGTTATAGTACAAGCCTATCTGTGACACTGGCTGAGAGCGGTCTATGGTCCCCAGGGTAACTTGCCGGAAGTACCTTGGGTACGGTCCGGTTATACCGGAACGTACCCTGGTACTATCTAATATGCCGGACGGTTACCTCGCTATTCCACTAACTACGGTCTAGGTAGTCGCTACGCCTACTCCCACCCTAACCCTACATATCGATAGCTTACAGGGTACGTTCGAATACGGACGCGTAACAGTACGTCTTCGGCAGTACCTGGGGGACATAGACCTATTTGGGGGGGCGTGGACACTGTTCTTGTGGGAAGTATGAGCGCAACCCATATCCAGTATGATTACATAGTATATTTTTCTTGTAATTAAAAAATTGATTAAATGATATGCTTTTGGTAGGCATGATATTATTAGTTTATTATTATTTATTTATGTATTGGGTTAAATTGACTACCGGTACGTCACGAATTTTCTATGGCCTAAAATTGCTCAAATTTTTGTTGACATTTTTGTACATTAAAGTAAGACCTAACTTGACTAACGTATCGTCAATTCTTACCTGATAAGATTGTTTCTCAAATACGTTAAAAATCCAAAAAACCTGGACGATTTGAATACATGTTCTTGACCGTTAATGTATGCTTACTATGGCTTGCTAATGGTTGTATGAGTCACGGTGTATTTCACATCGAACAATATGAATAAATTAGGAGATAATGCAGCTAATTGTAACATAAAAGTGACAAGAATATACTTTTTTCGTGAAAAAGTGGAAATATTTTTTTAATTTGTACTATTTACCGGCGCTGACGTTAATCACTTTAACTTAATATGAAATTTATGGAAACATGATATGGTTTCTGTTTCAGAATGCACAAACATTCCTCGTGTTATTTAGAGGAGTTGAAGAAGGCACTATGTGATTGTGGAGCAGCAGTCCACCTGTGTCGGCGTACACCGATGTTGTATAATATGCAGATTGCTGACTGCCGGATGCACGATGCACCTTCACCTTAAAGATAGGAGGAGCACTGCGAATCCACAGGGTCGCTGCCCTATGATTATATAGATAATGTCTCTGTGATCAACAGCTTAGAAGTGAGGCGAAACAAGACAATTGTATCGAAATGCGGGCGCACGTCGTTTTGCCACAATTTAAACGTGAAGAGCCTGAAACCATTTTAGTGTTAATTTTTTATGGCGCGTATTTGCATGCTTGGGTTTATTTAACGTCACACGTGGCGCTCTGTCAGTTTCTGTTTGTCCATATTTGTAGAGCAGTAGGATTCATGAGGTAGGAAATGTAGCAAATGGAAAATGCTTGAACGAAAGAACACGATTCTAATCTGGTTTGGTCATAGTGGTCAATTATGTGTTGTCAGCGGTCATTTAAAGTCAGAGGTGCTGGCCAACCAGTTGGCCAATTTTGCAGATAATGTAAAGGACAGGGATCACGCCTTATAACAATGTCTGGTGGAAATTACGGAAGGCATTTGCCTATGCACTCAGCCAGATGGATTGAAGGGATTGGTTGTGATGCCAACCTCTGTTGCCTACATATAGGGATAGAACTTATAGAGGTGAGCAAGGAATGTAAGTAATATTATTGCTTCTTGTGTGAACTAACTACTATGCCATTCTTTGCGTGCACTATGATTAGTTTGCAGGATCGCCTGATCTGTTTCTACGTACCTGCAGCGGATTTGGGATGGAGGTGGAGCTAGTAGCAAAGACGTGAGATGATGGTTTGTGTGAACAGGCATGTGAAGAGAATGGCATGACATTTCTTCACTCGTTTGATGATCTGTCATCATTGCAGGACATTCTAGTATATATGTATAGTTGATCGCAATGCTGTGTCTTTCTCCACATTTCTACAGAGATTGATGTATAGAGTATGCTAGATTGATTATAATCAAAGCGACAAAAAGCATACCAGCCAAAGCATTGATGTATCATGTGTCAAATTTAACATCGCCGTTGTGAAAATGCTCCTGTAACATTCAAATTTTTAGAATTTTTGCTGGTGGAATTCCGTTAACTTCGCACCATGGAATATTGACACGTGTCTCTAAGCCCCACCTTGCTCTCTCTGCAGCATCGGGTTTGAGATCTTGGAGGACTGCAGAATGGCGGACATAATTGTGTGTGCGGTCGGAGGCGGTGGCATCCTCGCAGGCTTAGCAGCTGCCATCAAGCTGTCTGGTCACACCAGCTGCAGACTCTATGGCGTGGAACCCACTGGATGTGAGTAACAAAAGGGTAGGTTGAACTGTGTAGAAGGAAGCAGTGTGTGTATGTGTGTGTGTGCGTGTGCGTGCGTGCGCGCATGTGTGTGGATATTCGTGTGTTGGTGTGTGTGCGTGTGCACTTGTGTGTGCGTGTGCGTGTGCACTTGTGTGTGCATGTGCGTGTGCACTTGTGTGTGCGTGAGTAGTGATGAATATCTCGAACGTAGACAGTAGGACGTAACAGTTGTATAAACGGTGACAACTACAGTTTTATTATAAATACGGATAAATAGCACAGTCAATACAATGTACACGTGCCGGTTAGAGGTTGCAGTCGTCTCCTCCGTTTCTACCAAAACCCGTCCTTTCTAAGCCGTCAGCATCCCCGCCGCGACCTTTTTAGTCTTAAATTAATTTATGACGCGGGTAGTGGATACAATGACCGGCCGCGACTATTGTCCGATGGTGCCCGTTAGAATCGTCGACCACCACTGACGTTGCCTGCCTAATGAAGGCCGTTTGATAAACCGCGTCGCCTTCTTGTTGAAGTTAATGTGCCTCGATCCCAATCTGCCCCAGATCCGCTCGATCTGCCGATGTGCCGATCCGCCCGATCTGCGCCGATCGCGATGGTGCTGTTTCTGTTGCCTCGATGCCAATTTTGGATACTGCAACGTACTACAGCAGAAACAGAAACAGAGAATGTGTTCATGCCATTCTGAAATGCATTCTGTTCATGCTGAATTATGTGTGCTCTTAATTATGCAGCTAGTGTATTCTGGGTCCTTCACCGGCCGTCCCTGAACATTTGCATGAGTAATGTGCCAAATTCCCCATGTCTCCATCTCAAAGTTAAAACGCCGTACTACACATGCGTGTGTGCATGCGCGTGTGCATGTGCGTGTGGGCAACAGTCACAGCAAGTTGCAGTATTTTCTGACATTTATGTAATAGATATACTCACTGTACATGTTATCTGGACTTCAGTACCTCAATAGTCACTGTTATGTTACTGTTAACTGTTATGTTACTGTTATGTTACTGTTATGTTACTGTAACTGTTAAGTCACTGTTATGTAGATATAGAAGCTTTTACACTCTTCCAGCTCAGACCATGTATCAGAGTTTCCAGCATGGCTGTCCCGTAGCAATGCCCGTGAAGACAATCGCCTCGGGGCTTGCACCACCATTTGCAGGTACGTAAGCCAGTAAGTGTGTGATGACAAATTAAGTGTGTGTGAGGATCGCAATTTGTCAAAGCAGTGGAAGCGAGGGCAATGCAGCCTAGAGCAGACTTCGTTCAGCTAACGTGATTTTTTTGGTCACTTATCCGTGAAAGCCTTGTCTCAGACCCACCACCTCTACCACACTGTCGACGTCGATCAAGAGCTGCGCCATCGAAGAAGCTGCGCTCGTCGCTCTCATTCATTAACATAGTTGAGTCAGTAAATTTTGCCCCCCTAGAACGTATTTCTCAGCTAACGCCATGGAACCCTAACTAGGCTACTTCACCTTGCAGGAGACAATAGCTAAGCTGGGCTTTGCTCAACTGATTATTACCCACACACTGTAAGAAACATGACAGGGGCACAGGATCAGTTCAAATGCCGTTATACTAGCTATAATATATACATATGTCTTAGCCTCGAGCCTCACGCTATGGATTCTCTCCTACCTGGATTAGATTCCTATCTAGCTGGGCTGGATTCTCTCCTCTACCTGGATAGATTGCTATCTACGCTGGGACTGGATTCTATAATCTCACTGGATTTCACTCCTAAAGCCTCTGTAGACACGCGCCGATTGCTAACGCTCGCGCAGGGGGACTGCTGCTTTGAATTAAAGTTGCTCAGTTGTGGCGCCAGGCATTAGGGAGTGGGCGCCGCATAACGCGTGAACCTTTCCTCGCACAGGTCAACAACGTTCCTTTACACTGCCAGGCAGGTTAGTCGGACGAATTGTGCATCGTAACGGACGAGGAGATCATCAGCGCCATGTTGGAAGCTTTTACGAGCGGCGGCGCTGGAAGGTGCGTGGAGCCATCGGGCGCTGCCGCTCTCGCTGCCGCTGCTCGAACGAGGCAGATCCCAGACGTGTCCCCGGAAAGAATTTCGTCGTGGTCGTATCGGATGGCAGATGTAACTCCGGACAGGAAACTGCTGCGGCATGAAGTGACAGCTGGCTTGAGAATACCGAGAGTGCTCGGTGGGGGGGGTGGGCGCTCACCTTTTTTGGGGGTAGGGGTGCTCCACGCTAAATGGGAAAGTTCGAGGGCAAAAAGATGGCTTGACGGCTGAAAACATGCGGCAAAAGATGGCTCGACGGTGGAAACATGAGGGCACAAAGATGGACTCGACCAGTGAAAACATGGGCACAAAACAGATGGGGCTCGACAGTGAACACATGCATCGGCACAAAGATTGGCATGAGCGAAAAAGTGTGGGGCAAAAAGCATGCGCTCACGGAAAAAATGGGGGTGGGCACAAAAGGATGGCAAGGACACGAAAAATGGGCGGGCAATAATGTGGCGCATATGATACAGACGGCACTTTGCATATTTCCCCCCCCCCAGGGGGCTGGATATACTGTAGAGTTGAGATGCGCGTGATGAAGTTCCACCTAGTCCTACAGTGTGATATGCTGAAGTGTTACTGATCTCTAATCGTAGACGGTTCTGCTAACTACTCGTAGAGTGGATGATTCAGTAGTTACTATCTGGTGCAAATAGCTGGGAGTAGAGTGGATAAAAAAGACCTGGGTGTTTAGCGTTCAGATTGCTTGGCGTGCTTACCTGTTAGGTGGTTTAATTGGCTTTTAATCATGCCCATATGATAGTATCAAGAGCATATAAAGAAGTGCGGGCGTATTACTTTAAAGGCTAATGCCTTTTGTATATGTCTTTGATCAGTATGCATTCGCATGTGATCGTTTTCTATGGATTTATATAATCTCGTAGGTTATATTTTTATAGACATTGCCGGCCTGTAGATGGCGCCTGGATGTTTAAAACCTACAATTATTCATCTACATCAAGATGAGATCTGGATAAATTTTATTTTAATGTAAATCCTTTTTCCCGCTTAACTTTGGATTATTTCCAGATTGTATATTACTATATATTTACGTGATATTTAGTAGTTGCTATAATAGTGTTTGTTCACGTGGGTTTAACAGTACATATGAATAACATGAGCAATATTGACAAGAGTCCATGTCTAGATCAGGCATTGGAATTTATAATTATAGGCTCTGTGGTTTATTCATCGAAACATTCTATAATTCCTACAACTTACTGTGTACTCTATGTGTAATAATGTGTTCTTCATGCACATGCTTTCGATCGCTTTGCTTCCTGTCAGACACTGCACTTGCCAGACAACATATCACCGTAGATCTATCATCACGATGCAGAGTAACATGACAATACAAATGCAACTGCTACCGTATGCACTAATAAAATGCGCTAATGTTTAAAATTGCCAAGACAATAACGGTGCTGCATTAGGATTTGCTGGCCGGTTAAAGATTTTTGAGCCATATTTACACATCGCTACATAACTGCATCGGGGTTT